AAATTTCTCGCTTAGCAACGGAAACCTCGGGCCCAACTGTAGTCGTAGCTCAAGGATAAACTGGGCTTTAAAGAGGGGGGGGCGCCACCTGATACAGGCACAGCTACAAACCCCCAGCTAAGTCCTGACCATATTCAGTTCCCCCCCACCCACCAGACAAGGAGGCAAACAGCTTCGGGAAAGGGCCTCTGCCCCCCCCCAACTCCATTTTAAAGAAAGACCCTCCCTCCAAGGTGGGTTGCCAAAGGGGGGGATTAAATCTGATGGCCTCCCGTCGCAGCTGCTGGAGAAGGCGGCTTATTCTTCAGAGGCATTCCAAACCTGTGGCAGCAGGTCCTTCCCTGTAACTTAAGACCTGGGCCTTAGATTTTGGCTCGGTTCATCTGCAAGGCCATAAGTGGGGAGGGGAAGGGAGGGGAGGGCTGGGATGGCCGCCCCCCCAGGAAAGGCTGAGCTCCCTCTGCAGAAAGATCCGCACGAGCTTCCGGTGCGGCGAGCGGTGAAAATAAGCAGGCGTAGTAAGGAAGGGGAGGTCTCTTTGTGGGGAAAAGCCCCTGCCTTCAGGGAATGGACAGGGGGTCACTCCTTACCTTGGACCCCCCCCCCTTTGCCAGCCACTCCCCCCCCCGGTTCCCCACCAGAGAAGGGTTCAACGTACAAGTCTCTGTACTGGTCAAAGGCGTTGTTGGCCTCCACTTCGAGTTTGCGCAGGCGAGCCGAAGGCATGGCGCCGTCTTCCAACGGCGGGTCGTACTTGTTACTCCAGGGTGACCTATAGAAGGAGGGGAGGGGGGAAAAAAACTATGATTTTCATCCCACATCAAAAGAGTCCCCCCCCCGCCTCCCGATGTTGCAGTGGCACAGAGAACAGACACAGCGCAGATGTCAACGCTGCTAATATTGAATATTCTTGCTTTGACAAAATCTGCAGAACTGTCTGGTATTTTTAGGGTTAATGCAGATGACAGAGAAAAGGGAGGGCTAATTGGAAGATGTGACCTGTGACTGCAAGATAAGGGAGGGGGGGGTGTTAGCAAGAAAAGTTAAGATGCCAGCAAGAGGAATTCAGATTCTGGCACAAACCTCCATGATTGCCGTTAATTTATAACACTTTTAATAAAGGCTTTAGGATAAACATGCCTGAAAGTTCTTTGAAGCGTTTAATGAGTCGGAACCATGACATCATGCCAGAATCTGAATTCCTACTTGGGCAGGGGTCTATGGTCTGGCCTACGTGTGCAGGAGGAGGAGGAAGGGGCATGGGCTGGGCTCTGTGTGTGTGTGTGTGTGTGTGTGTGTGTGTGTGTTGTAATTGGATGGGAAGAAAACCATTTCAACTGCATTAAAGCCAGCCAGCCAAGAGGGGAGGAGAAGGGAGAGGAAACCTCCCACGCCCCATTCAGCCCCTCTTTGGACGCTTCTCCCCTTAAATTCAGTCCTGGGAAGCCAGACCCATTTCTGATGTAGGGAAGGAACGAAGGGCAAATAGGGGGGAAAAAATTCCCCATCAAATCCTCTTCCATGTGCCGTCAGCATGAGGGAGGTCGATGGCCCCATTGTTGCTCGGTGGCTCTTTTAAAAGAGAGAGAGACCGTGTTAGGCCTGGAATTATTATTTCTTTTTTAACCAAGCTGCCAGTTGCTGCTTTCAATTAGCTGCCTGTGCTTGGGCTTTTAATGATATTATTGAAGCGCTTTTTAAGGGACAGAGTTCATTCTTTTACTGTGAGTTAAGAACGGCCGCTTGTATCTGGGCACGGGGAAGCGCGGACAAGTGTCGGCTTGTGTCCCCCGTTATCCCATCTCCTTTAACCAAGTAGAGATGTGCAGCTAGCAAACACACAAAACGCCCAGCGTGGAATGCCAGAGCTACACAGCCCTTTCCTGGCCTGCAGAAAACACACACACAGATCGTAAAAAGGATAAGAAGAACGCTGGCGGAGGCAGTTAACTTTATCCACCAGAAATCCACACCGTTACCCCAAAAAGTGCCTTTATAGCAAGCAAGTGCTCAAGACACGTTTCGGGGAGAGGGTGCTCTGAGGAAAGGCAGATGGGGGAGCCCCCGTGGGAGGAGAGGACCTGGAGCTGGTCCCCCGTCTCTCTTCGGTGTCTTGTTGCAGAAAAGTCACGCAGCCTCTTGGAAGCAACACACACACACACACACAACTGCAGAAGTGTTCTGGGAAGGTGATTAAAGGCGAGGAGGTTATAGGAGGGGGCTGGCTTTCCTCCTCCAGAGGCTGCAGCTGCTGACATTTCCCAGATGTGTCTCCCACAAACAGGCCTTGTGGAGGTGAGCAGGGCCTGTCTGGCACATGGGTGAGGAGGAGAGGTTACCAACTTATTGGATGTGACCTTGCAACCATTTTTTCACACTGACAACCGTTGCAGCGTCCCCGTGGTCACGTGAGCGAAATTCGGACGCTTGGCCACCGACTCGTGTTTATGACGGTCACAGAGTCCCCCCCCGGGGGGTCACATGACTGTTTTGCAACTCTCTGATAATCCACTTAACAACCGTGTTATTAGCTTAGCAAAGGCAGTGATTCCCTTAACAACGGGAGGAAGGTCGTAAAACGGGGCAAAAGCCGCTCAATGGCTCCCTTGCTTAACAACAGAAATTTTGGGCTGGATGGTCAAGGAATACCTGTACTACTGGGAGTAGATATTTAAGGGCCTCTCATCTCCAGAAAACTCCTACAGGCTGCTACATCTGTGAACCCTTCGGTTAGCAACGTGTGTGTGTGTGTGTGTGTGTGTGTGTGTGTGTGTGTGTGTGTGTGTGTGTGTGTGTGTGTGTGTGTGTGTGTGTGTGTGTGTGTGTGTGTGTGTGTCATTCAGCTTGCAGCAAATGACAGCTGGGTGACCTTGCAGCGGTATCTCAATGCTGCTTCTACTTTCAATTTTCCCCAAGCAACCCCTCCCTCCATGAAGAACAGCTGCTGGCTCAGGAATTCTGGGAGTTGAAGTCCACAAGTCATAAAAGAGCCAAGGTTGCCTACCCCTGGACTAGTCTACAGAAATGAAGAAACAGAAGTGACGTGATAGCAGTCTTCCAGTATTTGAGGGGCTGCCACAAAGAAGAGGGGGTCAAATTATTCTCCAAAGCACCAGAGGGAAGGATGAGAAACAATGACTGGAAACTGACCAAGGAGAGAAGCAACCTGGAATTAAGGAGAAACTTCCTGGCAGTGAGGACAATTAACCAGTGGAACAGAAGTTGCCTTCAGAAATCGTGGGCGCTCCATCACTGGAGGTTTTTAAGAAGAGACTATACAGTCACTTGTCTGAAATGGTACAGTTTCTCCTGCTTAAGCAGGGGGCTGGACTAGAAGACCTCCAAGGTCCCTTCCAGCTCTATTCTATTCTATTCTATTCTATTCTATTCTATTCTATTCTATTCTATTCTATTCTAACTGTGGGTCCACCTGCCTTCAGGCAGAAGTCCTCCTGGTGTGGCACGACCTTCGAGAGCGCAAACCCATCAGCTAATGGGTAGCCCCTCAAGTTACAGCCACGACTGAGCCCCAATTTTATGCTGCCAAGCGAAACGCTCACTCAGTGAGTTTTGCCCCATTTCATGACTCTTCTGGCCACGGCTGTGAAGCGAATCGCGTCCTCACTGACTTGGAAGGACGCAAAAGGGGAATCCCGTGAGCCCGGGCCACCGCAATACCGTCATAAATAGGAGTCAGCTGCCAAGCGTCTGAACTTGGATCACGTGACCACGGGGATGCTGCCACGGTCATCAGGGTGAAAAACGACCGTAACTCCGGTCGCTAAATGTACTGTTGTAAGCCGAGGGCTATCTGTACTTGCCCCAAACTCAGAGGAGCAGGCTAGCCGTGTCCTGTGGAGAGAAAGGAAGCCTGAGCCTTCCTTACCTGTAGGAATCGCCATCCCGGTTGTAATCGCAGAGGAGATAGTCCTTGCCCACCACCTTATCGCGAGCGATCTTCAGAGGCTGGTCCACGGAGGACAGGAGGTCTTCACAAAGGCTGGGAACCTAAGGAAGGAGTGGGAAGGGGAGACAGGGAATGGGTGACCGGTGTCAGGACTCTGGGCTTCCTCATACGTGGCTCTCAGGCTGAGCTTACCTCCACCACCTTGGGCCCATCCAGCAAAAGCAGCGCAGAAGATCTGCAGAGCCCTCCCCCCTTTCTCCGTTCAGACCTTCCTCAGAAATCCCACTCCCCTCCTAGTGTGGTTTTGTTTTGTTTTTTTGAAAAAATGTATTAGTTTTTGTGGGGTTAAGGGCAGAATGGGGTTAGGGTTGGGATTGGGGTCTAGGTTAGGGTTGGGGTCAGGGTCAGGGTTGGGGTTTCCCTGGTAACATTTTCAATATTTAGCAAACAGCATATTGTCTGGGTACATATTTAAACAATAATAGTTATAGTAATAAGTGATAATAATGAATATGGTTAATTTTCTTAGGCAATATTAGTTAATGACTCCATGTCATTCCTTCTTGCTAGTATGCATTCAAAATTACATATCACCTTCCTTTCTCTCTAAACCGTTTTTCTAGCCATTGATAAAAATTATCCCATGTTCTAAAGCAGTGGTTCTCAAGCTTGACAATTTTAAGGCGTGTGGACTTCAACTCCCACATGCCTTAAAATTGTCAAGCTTGAGAAACACTGTTCTAAAGTAAACTGAACTTTCTTTCTCTTTAATCTCTAAAGTCAGTCTATCCATTTCTGCGCACTCTGGAATTTCTTTTAATTAGTACTTCTTCAGTTGGTAAGTTTTCGTTTTTCCAATATTGGGCAAATACAATTCTTGCTGCTGTTAATACATATAATATTAGATATCTGCTCTCCTTCTCGTAGTTGGCTCCTATTATTCCTAGCCGAAACAATTCTGGTTTAAAGTCTTATTTGTTTTTTCAGTCATCTTCTCCAACCATGAATGTATTTGAAGACAAGCAGTCTCACCGCCACGGTGTCAGCCTCCCAAAAACCTGTTGGGGGAAGAACGGTCTGGTTTGGTAACCCCCCCACCCCACCCCACCCCTGGGAGCGTCTCGCTGTAGACAGGGCTGGCCTTTTGATGAGGTTAGCGCTACCATTCTGGACGGCTCTTATCTAAACTGGGTTTCAGGTTTGGCTTTGATCTCGGATGACGGGAAGGCAGATAAAACGTGTTTCCTTTTAAGAGAGAGACGAGCAAAGGGCAATTTTTCCATAAAAGACAGCCAAGCGATGCCATTTTTTTCCTCTCTCTCTCTCCCTCTGGCTTTTAGTTCACAAACACGTTCATAAAACTTTCCCACCAAGGAGAACAGATCTATTCAACCTTTTCGCTGGTATTACCCTTCATTCTGATCTCTGACAGTTTAGCTCAGGATTAGATGTTCCTTCTGCTATCTCGCGTATAAAATGCTACCTTTAAAAAAATAATAATAACCCAGTCCAAAAAATACCAGGCATCCTCCATCAGCATAAGAGGTCCCCAAATAAGGCAATCTAAGGGACCGGTTTGGACAAAACTCAGCTGCTGATAAAAACAGGATCGCCAACATCCGATAACGGATATGGCACAAGAAGAAGAAGAAGAAATAAGGAAATAGAACTTTTTCTGCAAAACCAGGAAGAGACAAACACAAAGAAAGTCCAGTGGCCCAATTCAGTGGCCTTCTCAATATCTGAAGGGAAGAATACGGTTTTAAGTCTGAAAAGGCCGATGCAGTTATTGGCACACCCTGCATTTCTCTTCTGCACAACCACACCCTGTTGTGTCCATGGAGATTGTCCGTCATCCAGATCATGGTTGTCCCAAAGGTGCTTTTCCAACAGGCCACTGGACTTTCTTGGGCTTTTGGAGAACTGGAGAAGCTTCTTGGGATGGGAAGGGAAACGTTTTCAAGAAAGAAAGAAAAAAAACAACAACCAAGAACGTCCAGTTGCCTTTGGGACGTGCACAGACAAGGGGCAAACGCAACTCCTGTCCCAATAAAGGGGGCCACTCGTGTGGTCTTGCACAGCTCCACTGTAGGCATGTTTGCAGATGTGTCTTACAGCGTCTGCTCCTTGCCAAAACTTGCTGTAAAGCAATTCCTGGAAGGGGAGGGGGCAAGAACCTTTAAAAAATGGTAAATATTTATAATGGAAACCTAAGAACTGCTAAGAGAATAAGCTGACCGTGAATGGCAGCTTAATTTTTTCCACTAGCTCAGGATCAGGGTGGAGTTTAATAAGCTCTCTGGGCAATCTGCCAACCATTGCTAGTTAAAGGGGGGGGGGATTACCTGTTCTTTCTTTTTTTTTAAAAAAAAGAGAGGTGATATTGCTGAAAATACATACGCACAGCTGAAAGAGTGAAAGGCAAGTCATTTATAGGTAAGCCTTGAGCTACTAACTCTAAAATTTAGCCTATTATTCAGCTAACCTCTCTTTCACATACACTCACACATACTTGCAAAGAGATGCATTAACTAAACCAGGGGTCTTCAAACTTGGCCCTTTTATGACTTGTGGACTTCAACTCTCAGAATTCCTCAGCCAGGCACACGTGCCTGGCTGAGGAATTCTGGGAGTTGAAATCCACAAGTCATAAAAGGGCCTAGTTTGAAGACCGCTGAACTAAACACTAATTTCGGACGGAAAAAAAAATCCTAAATCTAATATTTGGGCCTTTCTTTAAGAATAATAATAATAAAAAAAACCATGATGATGGGTAACGGTTCCCTCTGTCTACAACTTCGCAGAGAAGTCAACAGTTTGAGTAGACAAGGCTGGTACGTTTGAACAACTAGGAGACGTGGTCAAAAGCCACATTCCCACGTGAGCGTCACCTAAAACCAAGGAAGCTTCATGGTGTCTCCATGTTATTCCCTTAAAGTAGGGATCTTCAAACTAGGCCAATTTAAGACTGGTGGACTTCAACTCCCAGAATTCCTCAGCCAGCGTGCCTGGCTGAGGAATTCTGGGAGTGGAAGTCCACAAGTCTTAAATTGGCCAAGTTCGAAGACCCCTGCCTTAAAGCCAAGGAGATCCCTTTAAAAGGTTCTCTTCCTCACCGCCAGCTTTTTTGGGGGGAAACAGGTGAAAAAGTTGCTTGAGGACGAACTACTTATTACACTTACGCTTTGCTGGTCTGAGGCATTCCTATTAATATTGTGCTGACTGAAGTGGTCATCAAAGGGCCAAGAGCAGGGGTCTTCAAACTTGGCCCTTTTATGACTTGTGAACTTCAACTCCCAGGCTGGCTGGCCGAGGAATTCTGGGAATTGAAGTCCACAAGTCATAAAAGGGCCAAGTTTGAAGACCCCTGGTTGTGGACTTCAACTCCCAGAATTCCTCAGCCAGTATGCCTGGCTGGGGAATTCTGGGAGTTGAAGTCCACAAGTCATAAAAGGGCCAAGTTTGAAGACCCCTGGTATAGACTCTCCTGCTTGAGCAGGGGGTTGGGCTAGATGACCTCCAAGATGTCCCTTCCAACTCTTTATGTTCTAGCTCGGGGGTCTTCCAACTTGGCCCTTTTATGACTTGTGGACTTCAACTCCCAGAATTCCTCAGCCAGCGTGCCTGGCTGAGGAATTCTGGGAGTAGAAGTCGACAAGTCTTAAATTGGCCATGTTTGAAGACCCCTGGCCAAGAGGGTCCACATTGCAAAGATATCTTGTGGGTGGTTATCCTGCCTTACGGATGGATCCCATGAACCCTACAGGTGGGGAAGGCCCACCCTGGCCTCAGACCACCCCAACACCGGAGACCAGCTTCCTGTAAAGACCCGGCTTTCTGGGGATGAATGAGGCCACTATTTGGGATGGCCCTGCAAAAGAATGGCTACGCGCTGAAGGGAGATCAGGCAGAGACAAAACGGAAGACAAATTGGAGGAAAAGAAAAGAAAAGGAAAAAAAAACCCAGAGCCTGCGATGCCTAACAAGAGTCTCTTTGTCCCCCCCGGCCACGCTAGGCTAGCTGAAGTTAATGAACCAGGTACAAGGACAGAGTTTTAATTAAAAACCGGGCCATCTTTCCAGCCAGCGAGACAAGCGGCCACCTGTGTACAGTCAGAAACCCAACACCTTTCCCGAGCAGCTGGCCGAGCCTTCGCTTCCTGCTCCAAAGGCCAGTCGGATGAGTTCATATTCATGCAACTGGCAGGATCGAGAGGGGATGTGTGTGTGTGTGTGTGTGTGTGTGTGTGTGTGTGTGTGTGTGTGTCAAACCAGGTCTTGGGGGACAACAGCCAGCCATGGGAACTTGTCCCTTTTCAGGGCTCCGGGGGGGAGATTTGAGGGGTGCTTCCGGGATCCGGCTTTGGGCAATGCAGTCCCCGTGCCCCAACACGGATCCTGGAGAGAAAACGTCAGAACACGAAAGCCCAGGGAATGGAATTTGGGTCGATAACCGAGGTTGTGGGGAGGGGTCTCCTGTAACTCAGGTCTCTCCGGATGTGTCGCACCTTAAAAGTGAACAAGCCACCTGTTAACGCCTGAGAGCCTTTAAGAGGGTTGAATGGGAAGTTTCTGAAGCCCCCCCTTTAGGAAGAAAAGACCCCAAGGTGAGAAAGGCAGAATTATGCCTGGCAGGATGAAAATTCAGACGCTCGTGGAAAAGGGCTTTTCCATCCTCCGTTGACAACAACAACAACAACAATAATAATATAAAGTTGGAAGGGACCTTGAAGGACATCTAGTCCAACCCCCTGCTCAGGCAGGAAACCCTATACACCATTTCAGACAAATGGCTGTCCAGTCTCTTCTTCAAAACTTCCAGTGTTGGAGCATTCACCGCTTCTGGAGGCAGGTTGTTCCACTGGTTAATTGTTCTAACTGTCAGGAAGTTTCTCCTTAATTCTAGGTTGCTTCTCTCCTTGATTAGTTTCCATCCATTGCTTCTTGTCCTGCCGTCAAGTGCTTTGGAGAATAGCTTGACTCCCTCTTCTTTGGGGCAGCCCCTGAGATATTGGAAGACTGCTTATCATGTCCCCCCTCGTCCTTCTCTTCGTTAAACTAGACATCCCCAATTCCAGCAACCGTTCCTTGTATGTTTTAGCCTCTAGTCCCCTGATCATCTTTGTTGCTCTTCTCTGCACTCTTTCTAGAGTCTCAACATCTTTTTTACATCGTGGTGACCAAAACTGGATGCAGGATTCCAAGTGTGGCCTTCCCAAGGCCTTGTAAAGTGGTATTAACACTTCAAGTGGCAGAGTAGATCTGTCTGATCTTCTGTGACGGCCTCCTGACGTCCGTTCCGAATGCTCAGTCCTCACTTGGACTGAACAGAACCATCAGCAAATTAAAGGGTTATCTGGGAAACGGGGCCCTTAACCCCGTAACTGCAACAACAGTTTGGTGTTTAACCCAGTCTTCACCTTTCTGCCACAAATGCAAAGGGCGAACGGGCTGCATTCTTTCCTGCTCGCTGCTTGCAACCGACTGTAAAAATATGTGCTTCGTTTGACCAGCTGTGAGGGAGGGATTCAGAGGCTGATCCAAGAAGATCTAGTGGAACGGTCTCGGGGAAGCTGTCCAGCTCCATTATTATTATTATTATTATTTTTAAAAAGGTGGCTTCTGTTCCAATGCTTAGCTCAGCCTGTCTGGGTGCATTTGTACTCAGAGGTCCTAAGATTAATGGCTTGATGGTAATCTGAGGCTGTTCGTTTTACGTGGAAAACTGGCTTGGGTTGAAGGAGATGAACTTAGTTTTGGCCAAAGCCAACATTCCTCCTTTCAGGCCAAGGACCCCCAAATTTGGGGACACACCCCCCCCCCCGCGGTCGCTGCAGGATGGGAGACCCAGCAAGTGCCCCCATTCAGAAAGTCACTCAGAAAAGGAGACCAGATCCAGCAAGGCCTTCGTTTTGAAATCTGCTAGCTGACCGTTGAGGCGCTGAAGCAGTGTTTCTCAACCTTGACAATTTTAAGGCGTGTGGACTTCAACTCCCAGAATTCCACAGCCAGCTATGCTGGCTGTGGAATTCTGGGAATTGAAGTCCACACGCCTTAAAATTGTCAAGGTTGAGAAACACTGCGCTGAAGCATGGAACACGTGCAACCAGGGTTAGGGTGAGGGTTTACAAGGCTGGGTTTTAGAGAAGTACAACCGGGAGGATCTGCAAGACTCTTCCTCGGGACCAAGTGGTGGAGCAGTGACTCAGGCAAGACCCACAGCCAAGGGTTCCTCGGCTGCAGGGGAGAAAAACGGGTGGCCTGCACACAGACGCAAGTCCTGAACGCTTCCGAGCCGGGTCCTCAGCTTCCTGTCTTTTTCCTTCTTCTTATTTACGCAAACCACAGCCAAATTGCAACGCTGTCTTGTTAACCCACACACACACACACACGTATAGCAATAAATTCTGCGTGCGTGTGAATCTGAACGGCCAGGACAAAATGGCCTGGAGTTTTAGCCATCTCTCTAAAGGTCCCGCGGTGCACAGCGCACTTTCTAAATTCCTCCACTGCCCCATGACACCGAGCTGCCTGCTCAGCACTCCTTAGGGCTCCTCTCCCAGTTGGGGAGACCGTGCGGCAGGCACGGTCCTCAGGCAGGGCTTGGGAGAGACCCTTGACTGACAGGAGCGCTAATGAACTCTAATTACAAACGCAGCAGCCCGTGAAAGCCATAGAGACGAACGGCTGGGCTAATGAGCGAGGATGGCCATCCACCTGGGGTTTGGGGAAGGGGCGCTGACCCAGAAAGGACCCCACCCGCCTCCTTTGACCTGCCCTTGCATTTCACGTTCAAGTTAGGCCTTCTCCCCGGTCAGCACAAATCACATCTGGCAAGGCCATCCACAGCTGCCCCCAAGGACTCCGGAGACCAAGGACCCCAGCAGGCATAAAGCCTGACCTTTAGGGTCCTGGCTAAAGGACTCTGTGGGAGGGAGGGGGGGCTTTTTTTTTGCTGGACAACCGCAGCAGCCTTCCTGAAATTGGGAAGAGCGGAGAGATGCACGGCCGGCCCTGGTGGTGGCGTCGCTCAGACGGGTTAAAACGGACGTTGCAAAAACCAGCAGGGCTAAAGAAACACAGAGCAATGAATTGTGCACCTCTTGCTCTTTGTCTTTAGTTAAGCACAAAATAATAATAATGAAGGAGGAGGAGGAAGAGGAAGAGGAGGAGGAGGAGGAGGAGGAGGAGGAGAAGGAGAAGGAGAAGGAGAAGGAGAAGAAGAAGAAGAAGAAGAAGAAGAAGAAGAAGAAGAAGAAGAAGAAGAAGAAGAAGAAGAGGAGGAGGAGGAGGAGGAGGAGGAGGAGGAGAAGGAGCAGGAGGAGGAGGAGGAGGAGAAGAAGAAGAAGAAGGAGCAGGAGCAGGAGGAGAAGAAGTAGTAGTACTACTACTACTAGTAGTAGTAGTAGTAGTAGTAGTAGTAATAGTTGGAAGGGATCTTGGAGGTCATCTAGTCCAAGGTGGGCTTTGTGTGCTGTTGTAGGTGAGGCTTTGGACCGCCACCTCAAATGTGGCTCACTCAAATGGGGGTCCCCACGGGATTTTGAATTCTCCTGGAGGACAGAGCCCCCAGGGGTATGAAATCTAAACAAACAGAGCCAAGACACACACACACTCCAAAAAACCCAACCTCGTTCTCCAACCCAAGCAGGGCCAGACAAGCCACTCTCAAGTAGAACGACAGTTTTAAAGCGGTGGGGAGGCTCTGGGGCAAGGGTCTTCAAAGTGGCCCACGTTTGAAAGACCCCTGCTCCGGGGGCATCTGTTGAATCTACTGGACCTCCAGCAACTTCTGCAGAACACGGAAAGGGCCCCATAGGCCTACTCACCAGATCAATCAGGTCACTGAGGTTTTTCTCGATCTGCTGGGGAGGAAGACGCCTCATCAAATCCAAGGCACAGTCCAGCTGCTGTTCACTCTGGGGGGGGGAGGTAAAGAAAAGACAAAAAGGAAAGTAAGTTGACGTACAACAAATTTAGGAAACATAAAAATCGAACTTAAGGACCGATCTCATAATCAGCCATCAGACAGATGCTGGGGTGGAGATGGGGGTCTTGAGTGCGAGAAGCCAGGATTCTGGCAATATGGCGTGCCCCCTTTGGGCACCCGGATGACAAAGTCCATCCGTCCTAGGATGGGGGTCAACGGTGGCCAAGCTCTCTGCCAAGTGGCGATTCAACCAGTGCATATGGGCAGGAACTTAGCAGGATAGGCTGTAGGCTTACTTTTTCCGAGGTTTTACCAGTGTATAAGGAGCAAAATGGAAAAGGCCAGCGCATAGCACAATTCTATATGTGGTTAAAGGAGTGGTGTAAAGGGGAAGGCTTTGGTTATATTAGTCACGATATCAGCAGCTGGTCCAATGAAAAAATGTACAAAAGAGACGGTTTGCATCCATCCAAGAAAGGGACTGAGTTACTCGGCAATAAATTCACAGATTCTCTGGAGGAATATTTAAACTAAACAACGGGGACAGTGAGTTAATTGACACAGAACATCCCTGTCCCCGGCAATCTAAAAATTATAGGGCTATCAGTGCATGTAACACAGATGTGTGTATGGACAAGAAGATCAACCGCGCTGTCAAGCAAAATCAAGCTTTTAACAGCGAGTGCTGCACAAAGCGCACTAACGAAACAGGTGGTAAGAAAATAGGATGGGATATGGAGTACCACTGAAATTAGGAGCGCCTAGGTTCAACACACTCAACTATACATTCCCAGGCCACAAAAGAAAGAGGGAGCTGCAGCATCACCCCCCCCCCAAAAAAAGTGCAAAAGAAAACACAGGGCCAACCAAGTGAAGCACAGTAGATCCCCATTAAGTGAGCCAGAGTGGAAGCAATTTCACCAGTCAAAAGAAACAGACAACTTTTTATCCAAGCCTTTTCTAAATTGGGATGCGATAGGAAAGGAGTAGACAACGGGGACAGTGAGTTAATTGATACAGAACATCCCTGTCCCCGGCAATCTAAAAATTATAGGGCTATCAGTGCATGTAACATAGATGTGTGTGTGGACAAGAAGATCAAGCGTGCTGTCAAGCAAAATCAAGCTTTTAATAGCGAGTGCCCCACAAAGTGCATTAACCAAACAGGTGGTAAGAAAATAGGGGAAACTCAGGCACCACACAGGTTATGTAGAAAGTAAACACAGGGTCAGTCATAAAGGACTCAAATGTCCATACACCAATGCACAGAGTATGAGCAATAAACAGGGTGAACTAGAAATTCAGGTTAATGAGAGCAGATATGATATTGTTGCCATTATGGAAACTTGGTGGGATGAAACCCACAAATGGAACACATAGCTAGAGGGATTTAAATTATTTAAAAGAAACAGACCAAACAAAAGAGGAGGTGGAGTTGCTCTCTCTATAAGAAATAACTACATCTCTACAGAAATAGAGCACAACAATGATGAAAACTGTCTTGAATGCATTTGGGTGAATATAAAAGGGGGGGGGGAAATGACATTGCCATAGGTGTATGCTACAGGCCGCCAAACCAAACAGAGGAAATAGATAAACTTTTTGCTAGTCAGCTAACTAAGGTATGTACCAAGCACATCACAATAGTAATGGGGGACTTTAATTACCCTGACATCAACTGGAAGACAAACACTGCACCAAGTGGAAGATCAAACAGATTCCTGACAAACCTAGCAGACAACTTTGTCTCCCCAAAAGTAGAGAAGGGAACTAGGGGATTAGCCATATTGGATCTAATCCTCACTAACAGAGATGAAATGATAGAAGGTGTTGAAGCCACAGAAACCTTGGGGGGAAGTGATCATGCAATACGGGATTCAACATTATGGAAGCACAAGCAATAGAACACAATCAAACTAGAGTCTTGGACTTTAAGAGACCTAATTTCAATAAACTTAGAGAGGGCTTGGGAAGGATTCCATGGATGAGAATCCTCAAAGGGAAAATTACTCAAGAAGCTTGGGAAATTTTGAAAAGTGAGATAATGAAAGCCCAGTCTAGCACAATACCAACAAAGAAGAAAAATAACAGCTCTCAAAATAAACAAGCATGGCTGCATAAAGAACTCTCTGATAAATTGAAAGATAAAAAGGACAAATATAAAAAGTGGAAAGAGGGGCACATAACTAAGTCAGAATATCAGCAAATAGCCCGAGCCTGCAAAGATGAAGTGAGTAAAGCTAAGGCTCAAAATGAACTAAAGCTTACAACCAAAGTCAAAAATAACAAAAAAAAGCTTCTTTCAACATGTAAAAAATAAGAAAAAAGTTAAGGAAATGATTGGTCCATTAGTGGGGGAAAGTGGCAAGAAGGTGACAAGCAACAGGGCGAAAGCAGAACTATTTAACTCGTTTTTGTCCAACCTATCAAAACAAGTGCCATAAAAAACAGATTAGAAACACAAGTTAAGATAGGCAAGAAAATGGTAAGTGAGCACCTGTCCAGCCTAGACGAGTTCAAATCACTAGGACTAGATGGATTACACCCCAAGGTTCTCAAGGAACTGGTAGATCTCTGAACCACTGAACTGTATTTTTCAAAGATCCTGGAGCACTGGGGAACTACCAGAGGACTGGAAAAGAGCTGGTGTAGTTCCCATCTTCAAAAAAGGGGAAAAAATAGATCCAGGAAACTACAGACCTATCAGCCTGACCTCAATACCTGGGAAGATTCTGGAAAAGATAATCAAACAACGAATCAGCAAACACCTAGAGGCAAACAATTAATCACTACTAAAAGCCAACATGGGTTTGTCAAAAACAGATCATCCCAGACAAATCTTATTGCATTCTTTGACCAAGTGTTAAAATTAGTGGACCAGAAGAATGCTGTGGATATAATTTACTTGGACTTCAGTAAGGCATTTGATAAAGTAGATCACAACCTACTACTTGATAAGATAGAAAAATGTGGGGTAGACAGCATCACCACCAGATGGATCCATAGCTGGCTGACCGGCCGTACTCAGCGTGTGGTCCTCAATGGAACCGCATCTACATAGAGGGAAGTGTGTAGTGGGGTGCCCCAGGGCTCTGTTCTAGGCCCAGTGCTCTTCAACATCTTCATCAACGATTTGGACAAGGGGATAGATGGGGAATTCATCAAATTTGCAGACGACACCAAGCTGGCAGGAATAGCCAACACTCCAGAAGACAGGCTTAGGATACAGGAGGATCTGGACAGACTTGAACACTGGGCGCTATCTAACAAAATGAAATTCAATGGTGGAAAAAGTAAGGTTCTACATTTAGGCAAGAAAAACCAAATGTACAGGTATAGTGTAGGTGGTACCTTGCTCAATAGTAGTAACTGTGAGAGGGACCTCGGAGTCCTAGTGGACAATCACTTAGATATGAGCCAGCCGTGTGCTGCAGCTACCAAAAAAGCCAACACAGTGCTGGGCTGCTTTAACAGAGGGATAGAATCAAGATTACGTGAAGTATTAATATCAGTTTACAAGGCCTTGGTAAGACCACACTTGGAATATTGCATCCAGTTTTGATCATGATGTAAAAAAGATGTTGAGAAGAGAAGAGCAACAAAGATGATTAGGGGACTGATAAGGAATGGTTGCTGGAATTGGGTATGTCCAGTTTAATGAAGAGAAGGACGAGGGGGGACATGATAGCCGTGTTCCAGTATCTCAGGGGCTGACCCAAAGAAGAGGGAGTCAAGCTATTCTCCAAAGCGCCCGAAGGCAGGACAAGAAGCAACAGATGGAAACTAACCAAGGAGAGAAGCAACCTGGAACTAAGGAGAAACTTCCTGACAGTTGGAACAATTAACCAGTGGAACAACCTGCCTCCAGAAGCGGTGAATGCGCCAACACTGGAAGTTTTTAAGAAGAGACTGGACAGCCATTTGTCCGAAATGGTATAAGGTTTCCTGCCTGAGCAGGGGGTTGGACTAGATGACCTCCAAGGACCCTTCCAACTTTATGATGATGATGATGGATCGGGGACAGCTGTTCCCAGAAGACCCCCCCTCCACAATCTTGCAGTTCAGCATCGAGCAGTCCTCCCCCGTCCCCCCTCCCAGCAACCAAACCTTCCTGTTGCCTCAACAAAGACTGAGGAGAGAGAGTGGTGGGCCCTGCTTGGGTGTGGGGCTTCCTCAGTGCTTTTGCTCTTCCTCCACAACCTGACTCCAAGCCAAAGCCAGAACGTACTGATAAAATATTACAAAGATATATATATATCTTATATATATATTAAATTTTTTAAAAAGATTTTAAAATGCTATAACAGACCTAGCTTTCGTTGGAATCTACCAACATCATCAGGGCACAAATAACTCAATGGGAGAAAATACTTTTATACACCAGCCAATGCCTGCGCGCGACTCCTGGATCTAGTAATTGGTCCCAGCCGATCAAACGTTGTATCCGTCCTGTTCGGCTTCTCCTTACTTCTCCTTACTTTCTCATGGGTGTCAATCCTGCAGCGAGAGAAGTCGGAGGCATCCTGCCCTCACTTACATCATCCGGCTTCTCCTTACTTCTGCTTATTTTCTCATGGGTTTCTCATGAAAGTAAGCAGAAGAAGTAATGATGTTGGTAGATTCCAACGAAAGCTAGGTCTGTTATAGCATTTTAAAATCTTTTTAAAAATTTTAATGTTTTATTAAAACTTTTAATGATTTTAACTTTCCCTGGTGTTCACTTTTATTGTTTTACTATGGATATGCCCAGGGATCATTCATCTGTTTTTAATTATATATATATATATATATATATATATAAGAAGACAATTCGTGTTTGACTTTGCAACACCTAGACGGGGCTGGAATTCCCCCCCCCACCCTCTTTGGTGCCCAAAAGAGCGCAGCTGATTGATGCAAAAAAAAAAGAAGAAGAGAGGAACTGCTGCCCGCAGTACTGTTACTGTAAGGCACCACAAACGCTCAGGGCACCGTCCCTCATTAGCAAAT